AGATTTTTTTGAAAATAAATCAAATGATGAAGAAAAAATGCTATTGAATTGACGTTTACACCAAAAGAAAGAAGAAATTTACAAAATCCTAGTAGAACCTGAAGTGTACAGTGAAAGTGAAATGGAAGTATTTTATGGTTTTTCAGATATAGAAGAAACGTTAAATGAAGAATGTTCAGTGATGAAATTTAAGAATTTCTAACACCCCAAACTTCCAAACGAGGACCTGGAAGGCCAAAGAAAATAAAAACTGGTAAAAGAGGTAGACCAAGAAAATTATATTCCTATAGATAACGAAAATGAAAAGGAAGAATATTTTGCAAATTTAATAGACCACAATGATCAATTAACAGTTAAAGAAGTAATCTCAAGCCCAGAAGCGGAAGAATGGAAAAAAGCAATGAAATCTGAATATGAAGCTTTAGTGAAAAACAAGACCTGGAAAATAGTCAACTACCCAGAAAGGTTGCAGATTGCAAGTGGGTATTACATAAAAAGTGCAAAGCCGTTAGTACAGTTGAACGTTACAAAGCTAGGCTAGTTGCGAAAGAATTTACTCAAATACCAGGCATAGATTACAGTGCAACATTTGCACCAGTTGCAAGAATTGGATCCATTCGTCTTTTAATGGCTTTGTCTGTGGAATTGAAATTAGATGTATACCAACTTAATTTTTGTTTGTTAAAGAAAGCATTATATGGATTTAAGCAGTCTGGAAGACAATGGACATTAAAGTATATGTTTGTTAAAATACAAAGTTGTTGTTGCTTTTTATCAAAGCATTCACTAACATTCCCTTTTTTATGAAATTTTCAGAGGTTGTCTTGGATTTTTGCTCATATCTCCGTTATTTATGGACGGATTTTGTATATTTTATATAGGAAACTTCTCGAAAGCATGTTTGGCAGAATTATTGAAGATTTGAATCCCGAAGATATCTGGGGTCTTCACAAAATTGATTTCAACACACACAGATAGACAGATAGAATATACATGTATGCTTTATAGAGACAAACTTATATAAATATACCCATATAGTAGCATATAAGAAAAAGGGATTGTCAAAGACCTAAGTCCCCTGTCAAAAACCTAACTGGTGAGAATGTATTAGTAGAAGCACAATAATAAACACAGTTGTTCAAAAGGTACTAAAGAATAAATGTATTTTTGATACGTTATTTTTTGTATGTTATTACTGGGATTTCATATACTAGTGAATGAAAATATTATTAATTAACTTTTTTCAGAAGATATTTCATCTTAAAACATATTATAAACACTTTTTTTCTATTTTTTCTGCACTAGGGGAAAAAGGAAAAAAGTATGTGAAATACTTTTTTCATTTTCAATACGAAAATGTACAACTTTTCTTTTTTCAGTTTTAATTAAAATGAAATGTCAAAGAATAAAAAATATTTTATTTTTGTTTGTAAAATATAAATTATTTTCGGTGTTTTAATACATTAAAAGTATGGCAAAAAATAATAAATATTAAGTTTAAGTGATAAGAAAAACTATTAAGTGCTAATATCCTCGCAATTTCGCGAAGAAAATTTTAAGTTTTGTGAGTGCGTTTAGTTCTCTAAAGTGTGTTTTATTCTCTCAGAACTCGTCTGTGTGAAGAGAATAACAAATTTTGTTTGACAACCCCTTCAGTTTCGCCTATATCCCTACTATATGAATATACCCTTCTCACGAAGATGAAGAGTACAAAAAGGTAGACATATATTATAAAAACTAAATGTTTATTTATTTTAGTAAATTTTTTGGTTCCGGTATCCGACACATAACAGAAACAAAGAAGCTGCTAGTGGAGGCGATAAACCTGCATCACTGTGAGACAGCTTCAGCCGAGTTAGTAGCCTTCACCAATTCGTAGTCGTACGTGGCCCTTATCCAGAAACCTTGGTTTAACAACAATAAGATTCTTAGTTTAAAGGTCGAAGGATACACCTTATTTGTTTCATCTTCTAAAGACAAGGTAAGAACTTGTATCCTGCAAAGAATAAAATAGGTTTTCTCATTCTATCAAGAGCGGAGCCGAATGTAAGCGTACACTCACACTGGCATTGATGTATATGCCGTACGAGTCAACTGACAAACCCAGCTCGGAGATGCATGAGCTGACTCCATATGCAAGAAGAAAAATTGCGATGCTTATGATGGGCTGAGATGCCAACGCTCATAATTGCCAATGGGCAGCAAGGACATCAACAACAAACCGATGAGTTTTATAACTGATAACCATCTCATCATCTGTAAAAAGGCCGACGTTCAGGAATAAAGATAGGGAAGCAGTTGTAGATTTAATTTTAATAAACCGTTTAGATGATCTCGTTAGGGATTGGAAGGTATAATCGAATTGTTCTTTTTCGGACCATAGTCGCATTACCTTCACACTGGATTTTATCTTGGCTAGGGAGCCTTCAATAATGGGATTAGGTCTGGTTTGGCAAAACAGACTTTATGCAATTTGTTGCCAACTGAATTAGAGGGGGTTGTGAACAAGTTCACTGTGAATTCATTGACAATGTCAACGAGTTATTAAGATTCCGACGGATACTATCCAAGGATCCAAGGGTAATAAGGTGTATCCAAATGGGTAATAACTCATGGACTGAGTTTAGCTCTGAGACCCTAGCGCTACTTATGGAAACACTTTTTCCGGGTTGTCTGGCAACTGTAGATGTGGTTGACGACCAATGGGACCTCGAGTCTGTGGCGCCAAGCAACACATACAGTTTCATAGAAGAGATAGTCACTAGGGAAAAGCTAGTTGGGCGGTTAATTCATTCGGCCTTTTCAAGTCACCAGGGCCGGATGGCATATTTCCAGCTCTAGTAAGGAACTTACCTCAGGACGCTTTATCTTTTCTACTGGAAATTTTTAGGAGATGTCTTAGTTAGGTTAGGATTATTTCCATACCCAAGGCCGGTAAGGCAAGCCATTCAAAGCCAAAGTATTTTAGACCTATCAGCCTATTTTCTTTTCTTTTGAAGACACTTGAGAGACTGATAGATCTATATCTCAGGCACAATATTGATACTCACCTCATTAGTGGCGCTCAGCATGCCTACCTCAAGGCTAAATCTGTTGAGAGTGCACTTCATGAAGTGGTAAGTTGTGTTGAGCATGGCTTGAAGAATAGGTTTTACACTCTTTCAGAGTTTTTATGGCTACTAGCGGTTAACAGTATTCTAAGGCTATTTGAATCTAAAGGTGGGAAGATCGTTGCCTTTGCGGATGACGTGGTGCTACTGGTCATGATCAGTGACATCATGGAGACTGCACTAGGTGAACTCTCGTTATGGGCGAAGGATAAAGGACTGGGCATTAATCCTGGGATAACGGAACTGGTACTATTTAGCAGAAGGTATAAGGTAGACAACTTCAGGGTGCTAAATTTGGATGGCGTCGAATTAGTTTTATCTAGAGCAGCGAAGTAACCTTTCATGGATGGAAAATACTCAGGAAGGAATAAAAAAGGGACTTAATGCCTACTACACATGCAAGAATTCTATAGAAAAGAATTAGGGTCTGCAATCAGATATGGTTTTCAGATATTGGATTTACACATCGGTTGTCAGGCGTATTCTAACTTATGGTTGCATTGTCTGGTGGGAATCATTGAGAAAGCACAGTTATATAAAGATGTTCAATAAAGATCAAAGGTGTGCCTCTATTGGCATTACAAGCGGCCTTGGACATTATTATATAACTGTAACCTATAGAACATTTTGTAGCGGGTGTGGTGGCTAGGAATCTGCTAAGACTCTAGGAGTCTTAGTCAGATCTTCTCGCGACCAACGATACAAATTCTGTATGAAGTAGGTTTACTTGATCAGCGTAATTCCCCTCGCGGAATTACGGATTGTGATATTACGACTCTAGACTTCAGGGAAACACCTCTGAAGAATTTCCAACTAGAGATGATTTTCTTGTATCCGATAGTCTGTCCAAGGGGTCCAAGATGGATATGGGTGCCGGTGTCTATATCGCTGATATCAACATAAAACGGTCCAAGCAAAGATCCTAGCAATCTCGAAAGCGACAAAACTGATACGGAATCATATTGATCCGGTGCCAATTTATGTTGATAGTCAAGCTGCTCAAGTTCGATTCTTTCACTTTTTTCAAAAAAAGGATTTCGGGATATTCGATTTTTTTAATAATTTTACCAATTATAAAGCAAGGTGAAATGCAGTAAATTTCAAAAACAACTTCCCGAGATAATTAATGTTAAATTACAGATCACAAGTTTAAAGATATTTGGGAAAAATTTGGCATATACCATGCTTTTAGCCGCATAGCCTGGCTTAAATACTCGTAAGTGTCTCGATTGTGCAGCAATCGTTATAATCAGGAGTATGTTTAAAACATCTACAAATAATTATATAAAAATAATCTGACCATATTTGACCCTATATAAGACCCATTTCATAAAATAGTTTTTACGTTTGTATTAGTCTTATAAATATTTGTATCGCATTTAATAGTAATACATAAGCAACAAATGAACTTAAGTCGTAAACTCAATTTTATGAGGATCAATATAAACATAAATTCATATAGACCTGCTTCAGAATATCGGTGGCCGTCTCTAAATTTTATAAAAAGTTATGTTTGGGTTATTAGTTTCTAAGCCATATTTGGCCAAATGGGCTTGGTTATAAAATTTTATTAAATAAAATAAATAATTTTGTTTATTTAAAAAAAATCTCAATTGAAACACATTGGATGTATGCTCCGATTTAGGTTGCTTCAACCTTTATATGTCGTTTACAATTCTACGGAAAAAGAAACTGGTTTCGGGAATTTTATGTGAAGAAGATATATAACTTGGGATCTTTCAGGAATCCTGTGAAACTTGTCACATTTTGGATTTTATGCACTGGCTAAAAATTAAATTTAAAAATTTTGATATTTTCTTATCCATTAAGTTAAAATACGCTCTATATTTAAATACTCAATATATTGAAATTAAAAATCAAAAGTCATACCTTCCATCGCTCTTTAACGACATGTCCAGGCTGTAGTAGATCTTCCGAAGTCATTTTAGCAACTAAGGATGGATTATTACAAATATCAGCACTCTGTTGATTGTTAGAATATTGTTGTCCGTTAGTATCTTGATTGTTGTTCAATCTAGCAGGATGTTGTGGTGGATTTAGGTATCTTTGATTTAATTGTTGTCTGCAATTATTCGGCACTCGAAAAGTGACACGATTGCGCAGTGGTAAGCGGTTATTTTTTGCAGGTAAGGTTGCAGAACGTTTTAATGCATTCGATCTATTTTGACTACCAGAATGTTGTGGGAATATTTGTTCTTCATCACGGTGTGCAGGATGGTCTCTGTTTTCAGCTGTCGAGTCATAAGCACTTTCATCATTTCTGAAAACGAAAAAAATACAAAATGGATTAATATTATTTTGGCCTCTGAATTACAATTGACAATTATCCTGTTTTCACGACACAATCGCAATTCGTTTTGACAGTTCATCGGCGTGTGTGTGTATGATACAAAAATACGTTAATTATATTATTTTACCAAACTAAGTGATATAAATATGTATTTTTATTTGTCTTCGACCATAAAAATTAGAGATGTCACTCATTCATTCGTAATTCGTAGATAATTTAAACTGAATTACGTACAGCTTGTGTAATTCGCAGCTGAAATTTTATATGGCCAATCCTGTAATTGAGTTCGTAATTGGGTGTTGAATGACGAATGAAAGCGTGAATGACGAATATTTGGTTCATGTGAACGGTGTATTAGCATATTAAAAATGTGATTAATGTGTGATTAGTTCTTAAAACAAAATATTTTTGTTAAATTTTAGTTAATATATACATATGTATCTAATTTATATATATAAATTGATTGATTTCTAGAAAAAAAAAATGGCGAATTTCATTGTGATACTCTTGATTAACATACTTTGGATCTTAAAGTATTTTTTTTTTTTTTTTTTTTTTTGAAAGATATTATAGTAATACACATGCTATCGATCTTCTGAAATTAATATATACATACAGTGGCGGAAAAAATAATTGAAACGGTTATATTTTGGTAAAAATAAAAGTTTATCAAAAATTTGGCATTTACCGATCTTTTGGTGATGAATTTAAATTACTTTGGCATTATTCTTTCTTTTTCCCGAACGGTTTGAATTGCCAAATATTGAAATAATGTTCAAAATTTGACCGAAATATCAATAGATTTTCGTTATCTATAGATGGATCCAAAACTTTTTCGACTCGAAATGTAATCATAAATTAATGTTATAGATAATTTAACATTTTTTAATAATGAACTTCATTGTTTCTTTATTTTATTGAAAAAACTCTCAAAGTGGACCTCCGATTCAGCTATCTATGGCTATACTACTAAATAAAGTGTTGAAAAACTCAACATTAACATAAAAGAATGATGTAAAAATCATATTTTGATAATAAAAACGTCATTTATGATTACAACTTTTAAAAATTAATGCATAAAAACGTTTTAATAAATATTACGTTATGTCCTTTGTACAATACCATGAATCGTTTCTATTACTTTTTCCAGTACCAATATTACTTAAATATACTTACATACCAATAAAATACAATAAGTTCAAATAAGTTTAAAATGTAAATTACGGATTAAAGTAGACTTAAATACCTTTCATTTGAGATATTAATCATGAAATTCCAACGGATAGTTGTTGGTTGAGAATAAATTTTTCACCCGATATATAACCGTTTCTATTATTTTTTCCGCCACCGTATATGCATACAAAATCTTACATTAGTCTTTACCAGGAATGACAAATTAAATATTAAAACAAACATATTATAAAACAGGTTCCCTAATAAAATCATGGATAATTCTGAATAACGGAATCGGGCCTGGCGTTTGGTCTTATTTTGAAAAAAAATTCAAGTATTTGTTTTCTTATATACTAATGAAAAGCAAAATTTTTTATCTAAATGAGGACTCTTCCAAGTTTGTTAACAAAAAAAGATAAAATTTATGAGAATAATTTTTATTTATTTATTCAAGTAATAGATAGCCTTTAAAGCCAAACTTTTTTTATTACTTAGCAATAACACTTAAGTATAACAATTTAATGAAATAACTAAAATTAAGTGATATAAAGGCACAAGAAACCAATTACAAACCAATTTTTTTTTAACAATATTTTTATTGCATTTACTATAAGAAATTTTATCATTGCACTTTTAAGGTACAAATTGTACCACGAAGTGCAATTGTAACCACATTGCCAACACTTTGACACTACCCCCAAATTATATACAGGAAAATATGTAAATAATCACAGTATTAGCGTTTTATATGTACCCGGCAAAAACTCAGTAATTGCTTGTACTTATATAACCCCATACTTTTCAAAGACTACTACTTACCATCTCCATTACTTTTAATTAGTCTTATAATGACTTACATACAACCAGATACGTAAGTATTTTATTTTGAGTTTTTCCGTTTTATTTATTTTTTACACTCACAGAAATAAAATAGTTTTTCTGTGTGAAAACCATTATTGGACGCACAATAAAATACCTAAGCAATGGTGTTGTGAGTACGACAGCGAACTGAGAAGCCTTCTTAGTTCGCTGTCACGCATTCTGTGTGAGGATTTTTTTGTAACAAAAGAACTTTTTATTTCCTTATTTGTAAGTACTTATTTAAGTAGTTATTTGTAAGCAAGCGTGGTAAGTACTTGCCCCTCAATATAATTACGGAGTAGTGAAAAGCGGTTTTTTTACTTTTCAATGTAAGTTTTTGCTGGGTATATTAGGGTAGGTCGTAAATACTTTTTTTCCTCGAATCGACATCTACTAAAGAAATCATGTTGTTTTTTAACTTTTTTAGCTTTAGTTATGTATTCTGAAGTAAAAATGTTCCTACATCCAAAATATATTATGTAATTTCATAATTTCAATTTTCTTTTCAATTAACATGAATTATACTATTTGCATTCGCATTCGCTTTTGCATTCGCAAAAAAATAAAATTTATCATTCCCTTTCGTTAAACTGACATTCGCAACGACCCTAATTTTAACGTCTAATGGAAGTATGTTAAATACCATTAATGGGGAAAATTTGAGTTTAAAAAATAGGCATTAAATAAAAATTGTCAAACTTTTTTGTATCAAAATCGTAATGAATTATATGTAGGTTGAAATTTATTTAAGTTATTAAAATAGGATAGGAAAAATACACATACACAAAAAGGAGAATTTTTTTTACGTAAATGAAAATTTTCTATGAGAGTTAAATATAACAAGTTAGAGTGCATATTCGGCTGTGCCGAATCTTAAATACCCTCCACCTTAAACTGGTTTCATAAATTATCAAATTTTTTGTATTGATTCAAATTTACCTTAACACTTACTTTTATTACGTCTTACAATATGCTATTAAAAACGAAACTACCACTTAACAGATTGTTACAGAACGTACTAAATTTAACAAATGTTATCCTATGTTAAATATTTAAAATAATTTGTATGTGTGTGAAAAATGTATGGCAATAATGATGAGTTATAAAACATATATAATTTTTTACGGGACGTACAAGAAATTGTACACCGATTTTTATGATTTTCAACATTGTTCATATTTGTACCAAAAACTATGTGTATGAAAAGAAATTTTAAGATGCTGTCAGAAATTTTAAAATTTTTATTTTTATACAAATACTATGTTATTTTTAGTTTGTGCAAAACCCTGCTGCTGAATAATTTTTACCAAACATTTTTTATGGATATCATTAGTTGGTAATGAGCAGGGCAAGGATTTTCATGCACAAAAAAAAAAATTAATACGCGCTTATAATATGCACTATAAAATGGGAAAATATGCACTAAAAATGTGAAAAATATGCACCAAAAAATATTTCCTTGTGAAGGTACATATTAAGAGATAATCAAATCTTATGTTTTTTACAACATACATATATACAGGTTTTTAAGGACAGAGAAAAAACCAAGCTTTTTTATAAAATCCTATAATATAACAAACCATAAGTCCAAAACAGCAAGCTACACAAAACATAATGTCTCACCAACACAAGATGTAGATCAATATATGCCATCAATCACAAATATAAATCTTTCTGGACCTCATCAAAATTAGTTTGATATGTGCATAAATGTTAGTACATTTCGCTACCCTAACCAAAATTACATACATACGTACAAACATTTTATTCTTTTATAGAAAATTTTAATTAATTAAACCTTTTTTTAATGTTTAAATTATTTAAATTCAATACTAGCTATACCCAGTGTGCTTCGCTACCCTAGAAACAATATCAATAAAAAACCCTTTACGATTTTTCATATTTACATTTTACGGAAAAATCCACTCCCATTTCTCTAGTCGGCAAACGGTGGCTCAGAAATTAATTTCATCGACCAAAAGACAAATGTTTTGTTAACACTGAATTCTATAATTTCAAGCCATAGTAAATGTATTAATGTATTAATGGGGTGTGGTGGGATTGCTGTGTGGAAATATCCTTAATGTTTGATTAATTCTCAGATTGTTTATATTGAGAGAGTGTTTTGGTCATTAGGAGAGATATTTTTGATATTATTTTTGACATCGGATAAGCCATTTTTATTTTTATAGTTTTGATCTTCGTATCGTTCTCTTATTTGTTCATATACATACATACATACATACATACATACATACATACATACATACATACATACATACATATGTATGTACATGGGTTCTTTACTTTGTTTTCAATTAATTTATTTGGTTTATTTCCTATTCTGCAAGGAATTTTTTTCTGTCATGCGATTTGTTCTATGGTTTGGACTCTATTTGCAATTAGATATCTATTTCAGTTGCTGTTCTTATGATTATTAGTTATTGCAGTTCTTATGGGATACTTAGTTTAATGTAATCGTTGGTATTTCATTTTTAAATCATTCTCTGTTTTCAATACTTTTGTTTTTATTTTATACATACAGTGTATCACATAAGTATTCGAATTTGGTTGTACTTTGAAAAGAAACATAATTTAATAATATTTTTTGTTTGTGAAATTAATATTTAAATTTCTTATATTGTCTAGAGAGTCCTAAGGTATAATATCACACTCTTTAAAATTTGGAAGAATTACATTTACCTAAATTGATTTAACTTTTTTTAAAAAAAAGTCCATAAAATTGCCTCACAAAAGTATTCGAATTTTTCCTGTATTTCATATATGACCATATTATACGAAACACAAAAATTATAATCGAGTGGTTTTTTACTTAAAATTGTGTTAAGGGGTTACTATCGACCGAAATTATATATTTTTGGCCCATTTGTTCCACAATTTTGGAGCATTTGTACCATCTTTTCATGTAATATCAT